CCCGCCCGCGCGCGCCTCGCGGGCCGCCTCCTCCGGCCCCTGCCACCCGGGCTGCCCCGACCACTGCGGGATGTCTCGGTGCCCCCACCCCGGTCCTGGGCAGCCGGCCTGCTCGCTCGGCCGAGTGCTGGTGGGGGCTCCGGCGAGAGAGGGAGGGGGAGGAGAGGAGCAGGGGGAGGATCCCTGACTCAGAAGAGGTGACTCAGCCTCAGTGGGCCTCCCATCCCACCCGAGCCCGGTCCCCTCACCCTCCTGCCTCACAGCGCAGGGCAGAGCCCGCCTGGGATTCAGGTTCCTCCCCGGCAGGGAGGGGGCATCGCGGCCGGCTCAAGGGAGCGTGTGTGCCCTAGTCAACTGGTGCACCGGTGACAATGACCAGGTATGTGTAATGGTCAGCGAAGGGGGCCAGAGAGGCTGGGCCTGTGCACAGACGTGTATGTGTGTGCGGGCACACTGGAGGTGCACCCCTGGGTGCACAGGAAGGCTGTGGGAAGGCTGTGGGTCTGTGGCCGAGGTCATGGCTTCAAAACCAAGCTAAGCCTGGCTCCTGGCCTCCAGCCTCACTGCTACCACTCAAAAAGCCTGTTCCAGCACCCCACATCCAAGGCACAATGGGGGCCTCCAGCCACAGAAGACTGGGAGGCTGAGGGCCTGGGTTCCAATCCAGCTCTGCTGCTGGCTCAACCGGTACCCTTGGCGAGTTGATCCCACTCGGGGCTTCGGTTTACAAACAATAAAAGAAGGGTTTGGCTGTGCCTGTCTCTATGGCCCCAGTGTGGGGAAGCTGGGGGCAACCCACAGCATGATCGCCAAAGATTTCTGTCCAGAGATCCACACTGCCAGCCCAGATGATCCCTACCCCTAACCCTACCACCAGCCCCTGACACACACACTTTTTCTTCATTCATTCCCGAGCGCCTGCTGTGTGCTGGCCACAATTCTGGAACTCAGCACTGAGGACCACAAGGGCCCAGAGCTAGGAAGCCACCCAGACGTGAGCCGAGCCATTTGTCCCCGTGCTGCAGTTGCCTTAGTGTCAACCTCGTGAGTGAGTTACCACCTCTGTTTGCTGTCTCTCACTCCAGGGACAGGCTGCCCTCTTCCTCCGTACCTGCCTCCCATGGTGGCTGCTCCATCACGATGTCCTTCCATGCAGGTCCTGGTCCCACCCCTAGGACCTCCACAGACAAGGCTATGTCCTCCCCCCAGTACCCCTAAGAGGAACCCAAAATAAGAGCTGCATCCTGCTGCCCCACTCCCAAGCCAGGCCTTCTCCCCTACAAGTTAACTACATTGAACTCCTCCACCAGGTGTCCCAGGACATAGCTTCCAGTGCCTCCAGTCCCCCTGCTGCCCACTAGACTCAGGAGTCGGCAGACAGCAGAATGAAGCCAGCTCCTCCGGGTGCTAAAACACACACACTCCCTCCAGACAGGATGCCAGAAGACGGACCACCCAGCCCAGGCCAAGTGTCAAAGGAACAGTCCTGCTGGACAGACTTCCTTATAAGACCTCCTTTTCATCCCCTGGTCTGCAAATTCAGTTCTCCAAGGAGCCTCCCACAGACCGTCAGGAGTTGATCACTGCCACTCAGAGGGCATATGCATTTATTCAAACAAACGAGTGAAAGAACTGGTCAATCTCAAGTTACACCAGATGAACTTACTGTTCCAAGGACATTTGCGGAGAAGGTTTTGATGGCCTGTCCTCAGGTACTTTGCTTCCAAGTTTGCTCTCAGCTTCCCCTGCTGGCTGGATCTTCCCAACCCAGGCTCCTGCTCCTGGGGTAGGAAGCTTTGGGCTGGAGGGCCAAGGGCCTCCCAGCTCCTCCTAGCTCTGCTCCTCCCTGGGCCCCTCCCTTCTCCCTTCCCTAGGCAGAAGCCCAGGCCTCCCCTGGGGACAGAGCTGCATTCCCACTCTCCTTTTTCACTGGGAGCCTCTCACTTTCCCAGGAAGAGCCAGACTGAACTCCAGGACTAGGCAGGATGTTCCCAGACTTCACTGTGGATTTATACCCAGGGGCCCAGTTCTCTTCCAGTCAATGGGACCACACCAAAAATTAGGCTGCTTCTAGGATTTATACCCAGGGGCCCAGTTCTCTTCCGGTCAATGGGACCACACCAAAAATTAGGCTGCTTCTAGGACAGTAGGACATGTCAAACCTATGACATGCATTCTGCAGTGGGCTATTTGTATCACTGAGGGCTCTAAAAGGTTGCCATCAATATCCTAAGATAATCATTTCTATGATGTCTTAGCATTTTCTATGCTTATTATTTTTTACTTCTGTTGTTAGCACTTTCCAGTTTGCAAAGTACTTTCATGTGTGATCTTCTGAGGATCTCGTGAGGTAATACCATCCTCCAACTTATAATTAGGTGGGCCAAGGCCCAGAGTGGTAAATCACTTGGCCACGGGTACCCTCGTGCAAGTGATATGGGTTCTCTATACCAGACATTGTCCACGTAAGCCCACAGTGACCCTTCATGGAGAAATTAGACACAAGGTAAAGTGGGGTTGGAGCTGCGGACTCTCTAAAGAACACATGGTCCCTACAGACATCGGTGAAATCACTATCCCAGTTACTCAGCTGCTGTCATCCCCTAGAGTCGGAGACTGAGATGAAAACAGGATTCAGTCAAGGACAACGTCTTGTGAAAGCCCCCGTGGAGAAATGCCAGGGACCAGGCTGAAGGAAGAGTCCCCCACCACACGCACACAAACGGAGCTCTTCAGTTCCCTGAGAGGTGAATTCTACTTCCAGCCCTGGGCCTCCCGCTCCTCTTTGTGTTACTTGGAAGGGTTGCTTGACCTCGCTGAGCCTGTTTTCTCACCTATAAGCTGGGAGAAACTCTCCCTGCCCCACATCTGTCACTGGGCTGCTGTGACAGGAGATCAGCAAATGCTGGTGTAAGAGAAAGAAGACCCCTCACCCTCTGTGTTCTGCCTAGCAAGTGGGAGGAATTCTTTTCTCTTAAATTTTAACTTGGTGAGGTAACCTGAAGGTGCAAAAGTCCAGGATACAGGGAAGCCAGGAGATAGGTGGGAGTGATTGGTTCCACTAGCTCTGAAGGTGAAGCACAGCCCCCCAAGCCTGCTGGTGGGGAGGCCCAACCAAACACTTCAGGCAGAGCCCTTCTCATTGACTGCTGACCTTTCAAAGGAGGAAAGCAAGGCCCTGACCAAGCAGCGACTTGCCTGGGGCCTCAGGACTCCCAGCTACCAGAGGGCCTCTGGTTCTGGGTGTGCAGGGTGCTTTGAAGGGCACTCCCAACCCAAGGACTCAGTCTTTCATTGAGAAGCAGTGATGCTCACACTAAGCCAAGCTTTGGGCACTGGGGAAGGAGGAACTGGAGAGTTTCTGCCCTTGAATTCACAATCAACCCAGTGAAAGAGAACAGCACAAAAGCCAGCACACCTGAGGGTCCCGTAAAATGAAGCTCCGGCTATTTCTGAGCACTTCCTCTGTGCCCCCACTAGACACATATTCATTTGTTTAATCCTTAAAACAATTTTCTGGCCAGGCATGGTAGTGCATGCCTGTTATCCTAGCACTTGGGAGGCTGAGGCAGGAGGATTGCCATGAGTTTGAGGCCAGCAGGGGCTCCATAGTGAGTTCAAGGCCAGCCTGGACCTCACAGCGAGACCCTGTCTCGAAATAAAAAAAAAAAATTCTCAGACACTGAAATAACTAATCTCTTTTACAGCCGAAGCAACTGAGGCTCAGCAGAGTTAAGCACTTGCCAAAGTTCACCCAGCTAATAAATGGCAGGGCCGAGGCAGGACCGCCAAAGCTGTTTGGTGCCAAACCCTGAGTTTTACCCTTACAAACTTCGAGCCTACAGGGCTGTGCTAACCAGCATGGCAGCCAGCAGGCACATGGGGCTATCAAGTACCTGAAATACAGCTTGTGCAAACTGAGATGCGCTACAAATGCAAAATATGCACTGGTTTTGAAGATTTCGTGCCGACATCTTAAAAATGTAGTATGTCTCAATAAATTTTTATTGAAATGATATTATAGATGTTAGGTTAAATAAAATACATCGCTAAAATAATTTTATCTTGCTGCTTTTGCTTTTTGTTTTGTTTGTTGAAACAGGGTTTCACTATGTTGCCCTGGCTGCTTTTGAACTCCTGGGCTCAAGGGATCTTCCTGCCTCTTCTGCCTTTGTTCTAGGACTACAGGCATGCCTACCAAGCCCTTTGGCTCTTGTAATATAGCTAACTAGACAATTTTTATTTTTTATTTTATTTATTTTAGTTTGTTTGATTTGGTTTTTTGAGACAGGGTCTTGCTATGCAGTTCAGGCTGGCCTTGAGCTCACTATGTTGGGCAGAATATTTTAAGTTGCACATGGGGCTCACACATGTAGCTTGTGCTGTATTTCTTTTGATCAGCTCAAGTTCAAAATTCTGAGGTTCTAAACCAGGCATGGTGGCACACGCCTGTAATCTCAGCATTCAGGGGGCTGAGGCAGGAGGGTGCTGCAAGTTCGAGGCTAGCCTGGGCTACAAAGTGAGTTCAAGACAGCCTCAATTGCATAGTGAAACCCTGTCTCAAAAAGGAAAAAAAAAAATCCAAGGC